TCCAGCATCAGCGAGCAGCCCGACCGACGCCTGCCTTTCCGCAACCTCGTGGGCTCGCTCCTGTACCTGGCCAACCGCACGAGACCAGACGTCAGCTTCGCGTGCGGACTGCTCTGCCGTTACATGGACCGTTACACGACGGTCCACTGGCAGGCAGCCAAGCACGTCGTGCGGTACCTGAAGGCGACGAGCGAGCACGGCCTCCTCTTCAAGCGACGCAGCGGCACGCGCAAGGACCAGCCGCTGGACCTTGTGTGCTACAGCGATGCCAGCTTCGGCACCGACCAGCTGACGGGCCGCTCCACGACGGGCTTCACCTGCTACATCAACGGCTGTCTTGTGTCTTGGAGCAGCCGGCTGCAACCCACGGGTGCGCTGAGCACCGCCGAGGCCGAGTACATGGCCGTCTCCGCAGCAGCGCAGGACGTCGTCTTCCTGCGGCAGCTGCTCATGGACCTCGACGAGCCCGAGGATGGAGCCACCAAGATGCTGACAGATAACCAGGCGGCCATCGCCATCGGCAACGACCACGTCACCAAGCCGCGCACGAAGCACATCCGGGTACGCCACCACTTCGTGCGGGAGCTCATCGCCGACGGAACCATTGTGCTGCAGCACTGTCCCGGCACGCAGATGGTTGCCGACGCGCTGACCAAGGCACTGGACAAGCAGACCTTCGAGCAGCACCTGCCACGACTGGTGGGAACCTCGACGGCTGAGACGGAGCAGAGGAAGGCAGTTGAGGGGGAGTGTTGAGATTCAGTGAGTTTCTGTTCTGTGTTAAGTCCTTCCTAATTTGCCTTCTCGTGTGGTTTTGTCTTGTTTGCCAACAACACCTGCTTTGTGGTTTTTTCCGTTGGCAAACATTCCTTTCTCTCTGCTGGTATGCATGTGTGCCAACTGCCTCTCCTCTCCTGCTTCCCCTACACACGTGAGTTGTGTGCCATGTGTGTGTGTGCATGCCCGTTATGCTTGGCAAATGCCATGCCTGCGTGCCATGCAGTGTTGTGAAGTGTTGTCTGTTGTGTATGCTTGCCTGCAAGCATTCATGCCATGCCTAGCACTGCTCTGCGCGCATGTATGCATGCTGCTCATTGTTTAGATTGTTTGTGTTCGTGCACTCTCTGCCCATGTCGCCTTGGCAGCGTCATTGACCGTGTGCACTTGTCTTGTATTCGTTTGAGCGTGCTGCCCGAGTTGATTTGGCAGCAGCTTGTTGTGCTTGTTCATTCTCCTTGTGTTCTTGTTTGTTGCGTTTGCCTACAGTAAACACACACACCACCTGTCGTGTTTCTACATTTGGCCGGCGTTGACGTCTGCTTCTCCGTTGGTGAAGAGGAGAAGGGGGTAGCCTGAGAGCGTGGACGCGATGAGGTTTGCAGCGGTGAGGTTGGCGTGATCGCCTGCTGTCGGTCTCCTTGCACTTGAGCGTGTCGCTGAACTTGGACCTCCCGATGACGATGCTCCTGCCTCCACAGCTGCCCAGACGTCGTCGCCGCGCAGCTTGAGCGCCATCTTCATGCGAATGCTCCACGCATGAAAGGTGCCGGGCGAGCCAGAGAACTTGGGCAGGTCCATCTTGAATCCTGGCGTGGAAACGACGTGGTCCGACGGGTCAGACATACTGCACGCTCAAGAAAGGTGATGGAGAAACAAGAGAGGGGAACAAGCAGAAGGGAGAGAAGAAGCACAAGCGAGTGTGAGACAAGTGGCGATGATGATCAGGAGTGGCTGGGTCTCATAATCTGTAGAAACACGACAGGTGGTGTGTGTGTGTTTACTGTAGGCAAACGCAACAAACAAGAACACAAGGAGAATGAACAAGCACAACAAGCTGCTGCCAAATCAACTCGGGCAGCACGCTCAAACGAATACAAGACAAGTGCACACACAGTCAATGACGCTGTCAAGGCGACATGGGCAGAGTGTGCACGAACACAAACAATCTAAACAATGAGCAGCATGCATACATGCGCGCAGAGCAATGCTAGGCATGGCATGAATGCTTGCAGGCAAGCATGCACAACAGACAACACTTCACAACACTACATGGCACGCAGGCATAGCATTTGCCAAGCATGACGGGCATGCACACACACACACACACATGGCACACAACTCACGTGTGCAGGGGAAGCAGGAGAGGAGAGGCAGTTGGCACACATGCATGCCAGCAGAGAGGAAGGAATGTTTGCCAACGGAAAAACCACAAAGCAGGTGTTGTTGGCAAACAAGACAAAACCACATGAGAAGGCAAATTAGGAAGGACTCAACACAAAACAGAAACTCACTGACTCTCAACACGGATCCGCAGAGCGCACTTTCCGCACCCTCTTCGAGACGGCGCGCACGATGCTGTTTGCTGCGGACCTGGACAAGCCGTTCTGGGGCTTCGCCGTGCAGCACGCCACGCTGCTGCACAACATCGCGCCACGCAGGAGCCTCAAGGACAAGTCACCGTTCGAGGCCCTGACTGGGCACGCCTTCGACGTCAGCCTGCTGCGCGTCTTCGGCTCGCCGGCCTACGTGCATGTGGAGAAGAGCAGCACGCGGCACAAGCTTGACCCACGCTCACGCGTTGGCGTCTACGTCGGCTTCGCCGAGGAGGACCAGGCCCACGTCGTCTGGATGCCGGACACGCGACGCGTTGTCCACACCATCCACGCTCGCTTCGGCGCCATCAAGAACAAGCACGCCGCCTCCTCTCAGCAGCAGCAAAAGCAGAACAGCGGTGCCTCTGCTTCGCATGCCAACAAGACCGCTCAGCGTTCGACCGAGGACAGTGCCACTGGCGCTCCCACTGCACCACGTGCGGGGGAGCCGCAGCTCCAGCCACGCGCCCTTGGCGGCTCCGTCTGGGACCAGCTGCTGTTGTCCGAGACCCTCGGCGACAAGGACACCTCTGGTGGCTCAACCACCACGTGTCACGTTGCCACCAGCGCTGCTGGTACGGGGGAGAAGACATCAGCAGTGGGTGGTCATCTACCAGACATCGCTGCTGGCAGTTTTGCCACGTCAGCTGAGCCAGCCACCGTCAAGGAGGCGCTTGCCTCGCCAGACTCTGAGGAGTGGCGCCAAGCCATCCTGGACGAGTTTGCGGCAATGCAGGCCAATGACGTTTACGACGTCGTGCCTCGCGCTGACCTTCCCAAGGGCCACAAGCTTCTCCGCAGCATGGTCATCTTTCGGAGGAAGCGCGATGACCAGGGCAAGGTGATCAAGTACAAGGCGCGCTGGGTTGCCAAGGGCTACTCCCAGGTCCACGGTGTCAACTACACAGACACCTTTGCCCCGACGGCTACCATCGCAGCCATCCGCACCATGCTCGCCATGGCCGTCGCGCGTGGCATGGACATCCAGCAGATGGACGTCAACACGGCGTTCCTCAACGCGCCCGTGGATCACGAGATCTACGTCCAGCCACCGGCCGTCGACGGGATCTTCTCCCCGAGTACAGTCCTGCGCCTCAAGCGCGGGCTGTATGGGCTGAAGCAGAGCCCGCGCCTGTGGAACCACACGCTGGACGCCTGGATGCGCGAGCAGGACTTCGTCGCTACAGCCACGGACGCCTGCATCTACCGCCGCACCTGCAAGGGTGGCAAAGTGATGTGGGTTGCCGTCTACGTGGACGACCTCCTCATCTTCGCCGACAGCGACAGCGACATGGCCGCGTTCAAGAAGGCCATCTCCAAGCGCTTCAAGATGAAGGACCTGGGCAGCCCAGACATTTGTCTCGGCATCAAGGTGCAGCACGACCGCAAGGCCAGGACCGTCACCATGAGCCAGGAGCACTACCTGCGCAGCGTGCTGGAGACCTTCGGCATGGCTGACTGCAAGCCTGTCGGCACGCCGCTCTGCACAGGCTACGTCGACAAGCCAGCCGACAAGGAGGAGCCACTCCCGGACGTGCCGTTCCGCGAGCTGCTTGGCTCCCTCCTCTATGCTGCGACGATGACGCGTCCAGACATCTCGGCGGCTGTCTCCATCCTGTCTCGCCGCATGCAGCACTTCGGCATGGACCACTGGAAGGCTGCCAAGCACCTTCTTCGCTACATCAAGGGCACCTTGTCCTACACCATCAAGTACGCCGCCACTGGCGACACCAGCAACGGCAGCACTGCCGACGGCGTGCTCTCAGCGTACTCGGATGCGTCCTTCGCCTCCGACGTTGACACGCGACGTTCCCGCACGGGCTTCGTCGTCTTCTGTTCCACGGGCCCCGTGTCCTGGAACTCCAAGCTGCAGGCCACCGTGGCCACAGCCTCCGCCGACGCGGAGTACATGGCTCTCGTAGCCACCGCACAGGAGCTCATGTTCCTTCGCCAACTCCAGGAGGAGCTCACCGGCGCCGTCCTGTGCGAGCCCACGCTCGTCCACACGGACAACCAGCCGGCGCAGCGCGTTGCCGAACACGCCGCCTCGCGCATGCGGCACATCCTCGTCAAGTACCACTACATCCGCGAGTGCGTCGACACCAAGAGGATTGTGCTGAGCTACCTCGCCACGGAGCACATGATCGCAGATCTCCTCACGAAGATCCTCCCTCGGCCCAAGACGGCTCAGTTCTGCACGATGCTGTTCGACCAGCGTCCTCTGCCAGGCTGCCAGCCACGGGCCCGTCCTCATTCGGGCCGGTCGCCACGTCCTTCGACTCCGCGTCAGGACCTCTGAGCGGCCGCGCACCACAGGACACGCCTTCACTCGGGCCAGCCTTCCACAACAGGCTGCGCACCACAGGCACCAACCATTTTCTTAAACGTGTTCCACAACACACGTCCTTACTCATATCTCACCTACATCTGCCCATGCCATTCCTACATGCATGACATCATCCACATGCTCATCACGTTTCAGAACATCAACGCAGCAGAGAGGTAGGTCAATGCGGGGGAGTGTTGACAGGCAAGTCCTGTCTGCTGAGTCATCATTGACCTCCCTTCTTCACGACACCACAAATTTACATTCACCTCACGTGATTTCCCTCCAACCTGTTGCACGTGCAGTGTTTAGCTTGTGTGGTTGCTCGATGTTACATGTTCTTGCATAACACACCACATAACCACACAACTCTCAACAAACACTGCCACGTCACCACTTTGCGTTGTCGACAATTCTTGTCTTGTGCTCTGTTTCTTTCTGTTGGAGTGTTCATTCATCCTACATCCTTGTTTGCTTCACAACTCAAGTAAACACACACAACTCTCTCTTGCCAAGACAATCTCCCACACAACACACAGCACACACAGCACACACAGCACACACACAGCACACACAGCACACACACACACACACACACAAGTCTCTCACAACAGCACCACCAGCATGAACTTGCAACAATGGACCTCGGGCGAGACCGAGGCTGGGAGCCACCCAAGATGCTGACAGATAAACCAGGCGGGCATCGCCATCGGGCAACGACCACGTCACCAAGCCGCGCACGAAGCACATCCGGGTACGCCACCACTTCGTGCGGGAGCTCATCGCCGACGGAACCATTGTGCTGCAGCACTGTCCCGGCACGCGGATGGTTGCCGACGCGCTGACCAAGCACTGGACAAGCAGACTTTCGAGCAGCACCTGCCACGACTAGTGGGAACATCGACGGCTGAGACGGAGCAGAGGAAGGCAGTTGAGGGGGAGTGTTGAGATTCAGTGAGTTTCTGTTTTGTGTAGAGTCCTTCCTAATTCGCCTTCTCGTGTGGTTTTGTCTTGTTTGCCAACAACACCTGCTTTGTGGTTTTTTCCGTTGGCAAACATTCCTTTCTCTCTGCTGGCATGTGTGCCAACTGCCTCTCCTCTCCTCCTTCCCCTACACACGTGAGTTGTGTGCCATGTGTGTGTGTGCATGCCCGTTATGCTTGGCAAATGCCATGCCTGCGTGCCATGCAGTGTTGTGCAGTGTTGTCTGTTGTGTATGCTTGCCTGCAAGCATTCATGCCATGCCTAGCACTGCTCTGCGCGCATGTATGCATGCTGTTCGTTGTTTAGATTGTTTGTGTTCGTGCACACGCTGCCCATGTCGCCTTGGCAGCTTTGTTGACTGTATGTGCACTTGTCTTGTGTTTGTTTGAGCGTGCTGCCCGCGTTGATTTGGCAGCCGCTTGTTGTGCTTGTTCATTCTCCTTGTGTTCTTGTTTGTTGCGTTTGCCTACAGTAAACACACGTCCCTTGCTGTCTCAACACCACTTTCCTCTATGCAGTGATGCGTGTTCGTTCATCGTCATCACGATGGTTGTCGGTGCTTGCTTCGGTGTGTAACAGGAGCGCATTGTGGTGCTATGATGGCGCTGAAACACCATCATCATCAGACAACGTCGAGGGGTGGCAGGGAAGGGCGCGAACAAAGGGAGGCACGTCGTGCGCAGGCACGACTGAAACAACAGAGCCCTCAAGAGTAACACAAGCCAGGCGCGAAGAAGGAGGAGGAGGAAGAGGAGGAGGAGGAGGAGAAGAAGAAAGAAGAATCGAAGAGGGATGGATCGCCATAGCAGCAGAAGCGGGCGGATCGAGGGCGGCGCCGTCAGGAGTAACAAGTTCAAGCACGATCAAGGGAAGAGCAAGGGGCTACTTGAAGGCCTGCTCCTTCTCAGAACGAGCGCCTCTTCTGTGGAACGCCATCAACACTCCATGCAGTCGCACACACGCGGCCACGCACAAGATGGACGCAACGAGGAAGCAGACGGATGTCGATGACACATGGCAGGAGGTAAACCAGCTTCCTTCAAGCGACGGAGAGGTGTTGACCCACATGCCGCTTCTGTGCGGAGAAGAATCAGGGCCCTCCGTGCAGTGTGTGCTCGGGATGTTGAGTAAGAAGTTGTGCGTAAAGCCGGTGTGTCCGAGGTGTCGCAGGGTGCTGTACTTGGCGCCCAGCTGGCATTGAATGGACATGAATAATGAAGTGCCGTTCGTGCCGCCCGTTGCTACGATGATGAGCTGGCGGGTTGAGTTGTCGTACTGCCAATACTCGAGATTGGACGCGGCCAGGGTGCGACAGCCCCCACCGTGCAGGCTGGCTTGCGCACCGAGCCACCGTCCATCGGGCAGGGTGCAGTTGCTGTATGTGCGTGCGTGTGCGTGAGCGCGTGTGGGTGAACAGGGAATGAGCACGCAGTCTTGAGGTTCTTTGGGCAGATGCATGCACAGAATACGTACAGTCACAGTAGAGACAAACACAGACAAACAGACAAGCGCACACATACACATGTACAGGGAGAGAAACACACACACACACACACACACAAAGCCGACAAATGTATACGATCACACACACACACACACACACACACACACACACACACACACACACACACACACACACATAGATCAGGAGCAGAGCGCTCCGGTAACTGACGGCAAATTATGGGGGACACCATTATGGTGGAGCTCCAAGTAGTAGATGAACTGAGAGTTGCACATCGCGGTGCGTGCGTGTGTGTTTGTGAGTATGTGCGTGCGTGTGTGTTTGTGAGTATGTGCGTGCGTGTGTGTTTGTGAGTATGTGTGTGTGTGAACAAAACGGGCCATCAAACAGACGACGCACAGTCACGGTCCCCTCAGACACAAAGTCGATACACAAACGAGCGAATGTTCAATTGACAATCAAAAAGACACACAGACAGACAGGCAGAATCACAGACACAGACACAGACACACAGAGACACACAGACAGACACAGACACACAGACAAGACAGACACACGCACAGACAGACAGAGAGACAGACAGAGAGACAGACAGATGCACAGACACACACACACAGACACAGACACACAGACACAGACAGACAGACACACACACACACACACACACAGACACAGACAGACAGACACACACACACAGACACACGGGTGGGTGCTCACCCCATCGCCAGATTTTGTGGAGAGGAGCGTCTTGCCGTCAGCTCCGCGAACGGAAGCAAGGTCGAAGCTGTATCAGCATCGATCGTACAAATCGACAGAACAGCCAAGCAGTCTCGGTTGTGAGGTACCAACACAGACACGGGTAAAGGCAAACATGGTGTAAGACACAGGTAAAGGCAGCCACAAGCACAAACAAACACACGCAACATCACAAACACAAATACAAACACAAGCACCATCACAAACACACACGCACACACAAACACACAAACAAACAAACAAACAAACACACACACTCACAACATCACAAACACAAGCACAAACAACACAAACACGAGCACATTCAACTCACTATGCATCGCCGCATTTGCGGATCAGGTGATGGCCGTGTATGGGTTTGCAGCCAAGCGTGTCGGAGACAGGCACCGACAGTGTGGTGCTGCTCATCGACAGCACCAGCAGCAGCAAGGCGAGCCGCGAGCCGGTCGTCGTTGTGACTGGCATGGTTGAGGAAGACTGGCGGGAAATGTGGCTAATCATCGGCATGGAGCAAAAAAAAAAACTGGGGTCCTGCCGGGATTTGAACCCGGGACCTCCCGCACCCTAAGCGGAAATCATACCCCTAGACCACAGGACCACATGAATCTACCCCAGTGCGGAAAATTTGTGTATCTCAATGAAATGCGACTCCGGTGGTGCCCGATGTGTGGTAGACTGACACACTCACACAGACACACAGACACGCGCAGACACAGACAAACACGCGCACACGGACGCACACTAGCGTGGTGGGTGGCGGAAAGTTTAGTTTGTTCTCGTGTTTGTCGTCAACAACAAAACAAAGAAAAGTAAGCGTGGTCACGCCCGCAACACAAGGCCAATGTGCAAGACCACAAAGGGCAGGGCATGCGCTGAAGAGGGAGACGACACACACACACACACACACACACACACACACACACACACACACACACACACACACAGCCACAGCGGATAAGGAGCGGAAGAAAGAGAAGGGGACGGGAATGACGAAGAGCACGGCAAACGAAACAGAGCAAACAACACATGGCACAATGCACAAGACGCGAACGTACAGAAGGAAAAGCATACGACAGCAAGTCAAAGCCAAAGTAGGGCAGCAGTTCATGCCACATATGCAGCCGGGAAAAGCCCAACTTCACCACGGCAGCGACCCTTCCACCAGTGCTCATCAGACTTGTCAAGCACAACAATCTGCTCACCCTGGTGTGGTTGAATCAGAAGTTGAAAGTGGTGGAGGGGGGGGGAAGCATGCACGAAATAGGACAAAAGGGAGAGCAAAAGGGAGAGGCCAGCAGGGAACGATGGAGGGAGGGATAGGCGTCAGCGTAAAGCAAACGTGAGAAACAAGCAAAGTTGCTGATGATCACGGCAGGTAAGATGACAGGCGCTACACACGCAGGAGCCATCCAACAACGAGCACACGGACTGAGCAAGCACACCCCCCCAACAACACTTTAACCACACACACACACACACACACACACACACACCTTTGTGAAGCCCAGTTCGCCAGACTCTTGCGGCTTGAATGTGTACTGTGCGGTGACGATTGTCTCGCCCGGGTTGGCCTGGGCAGGTGGGGCGACGGGCATGGGTGCAGGGGCTGGTGCTGGTGCGCGCACCTGTGCCACGGGCGCCGCTGCCTCGCGCTGAGAAACGCGGGCAGCGGTGGCAGCAGGCATGTTGGCGGGCTGGCCGTCACGTCCAATGGCAGTCGTCAGGAAAATCTCCTCCGCCCGACTGCAAAATGGCGACGGCGGGCGTGGGACCGCGCACATTTGCGTGCGTTTGAGAAAGCGTGAGAGAGTGTGTGTGTGCGTGTGCGTGTGTGCGAAAGGACGTACATACATTTAAACATGTCACCACGACCAAAACCACGACGACCACCACTAAGAAGCGAAGGAATGAACAACGCCAGCCCGCCGCGTATTTCACCCACCCACCTGACAGACGATGTCTTGTGGTAGTTGATGAGCTCGTTGAGGCTGTTGAATTTTGTCACCCAGAGAAAGTACTTGCCGACGTCATCACGCAGAATCTTAAAGTGCTGCACATGCACCCCCTGCTGGTTGTTCACCCTTTCAAGCCACAGGCATTCGCATGCACACGTACGAATGTGAGCATCCATGGTCGTGCCCATGACAGGCAGGCACAACCACACACGGCGTGACAAGTTCTGGCATCAGCAGGCGGCCTCATATCCACACGGACCGTCCAACACAGCCAGGCAAACACACACAAGACACGAGACACACTCACCGAACAGAGAGCGAGAAGCCGCCTGAAGGAGATGCACGTGCACACGGGCGCACACGTTCACGCATGGGTGACGCATGTGAGAACGGTGAACATGTCATACAATACAAGTCAGCAAACACTGGCAAGCAAGGATATCAGGTTGCAGCGCTTCTTTTTTTGTTTTGTTCTGTGGCTTGCACTGTTGTACTGGTGCACCGTTGCACTGACCTGGCGTGCTCCAGCTCTCGCGGAAGAGAAAAGCGCCGTCATCACGCGCACCCATCAAAATCCTCTCAGAGTCCTCGCGCGAGATGCGCCCGTGGAACCAGCTACATCGCAAAGCGCGGTGCGCGCATGTATGTGTATGTGTGTGTGTGAATTCGTGTGTGTGCGTGTGTGAATTCGTGTGTGTGTGTTGTTGTTGTTGTTATTGTTGGGTCAAGTACTGTCGTCGTGTGCGTTGCTGTGGTAAATTGAGTCTGGCAGCGCTCCTCTCCCCACAGACAGAGCACCAACTCCACTGCAACATTCCTCAGTCTACAGCCAGCCACATACCCATGCGGCTCCATCTGAACATAGTTGGCTGGGATGTATCCGGTCTTCCCGTCCAGTTCCGCCTTGAACCAGTTCTTGTCCTCGTCAATGTTGATGACCTACAAGGCAAGGGGAGGCAAGGCAAGGGGAGGCGAGGCAAGGCGAGGGGTGAACGTGCACAGAGAATTGGGGAGCAGAGGCAGAGGTAGAGGGGCGGGTTGATGCACCAAAACACACAGACAGAACGACAGAGAGGGACAGAGACGGAGGGAGAGAAAGGGAGAGAGGGAGGGAGAGAAAGGGAGAGAGGAGAGAGGGAGGGAGAGAGGGACACACACACACACACACACACACACACACACACACACACACACACACACACACACACACACACACACGCACACACACACACACACAGAAACAGACAGACACAAACACACACAAACACAGAAACAAATACAGAAACAAACACAGAAACAAACACAGAAACAAACACAGAAACAAACACACACACACGCACGCACACACAGCCACACCTTGACAATGCTGCCCTTTGAGAAGGAAAGCTCATCCTTCTGGGTGGCAGCAAAGTCGTGCAGTGCTCGTGCCTCCATTGTGGGGGTGTGGGTGTTGAGGACACCAAAACAAAACCAGACAGCAGGGCAAGCAAGCCGAGACAACTCAGAGAGGGAGGAAAGTGGTGTGTTGTGTTTGCACAGCTCAGCGCGTTCTTCTCGAAGAAAAAAAAACTTTTCTCTTGGGCAATTTTACCTTTCTTGCCAAAGTCAACTTTGCCTTTGCTGCAACGGCTGCGGAGTCACAGCCACGAACAACACAACAACACACCAGCAACACCGCCACCGACATGGCGGACGACGATCCCGCAGCACCCACGCCTCGCACTCTCATTCGTGCCATCACCCGGAATGAGAAAGCGCCAGCAACGCCTGCGGCAACAAAAACGCCTGCAACGACACCAGCGGTAGCAACTGCCACAACTGCTTCCTCCACTCGCAAGCATGATCAAGCACAACCGCCAACAACTGGCACGGAAACAACCTCCCGGACACGCGGCAGAAGGCAACAGTCAGCCACCACCGAAGATCCAACCCCAAGAACACTGGTGAGAACGCTGCTTGCTTGCCTGCTTGCTTGCGTGTTTCTTTGTTGCATTGCCCGCTGACGCTTCCCTTTCGGCTCATGCTTTTTTTTTGTTTGTTTTTGCTTCATGTGGCGTGCAGATTCGCGAAATCACTCGCGAGCAAGCTGGCGACCAAACCATCACTCCAGACACAAGCATCGCCAAGTCGGCAAATGCATCTACCCTTCCACCACCAACTCCTCGCCAAGGTGTGCACACTTCGTTGCAGCACATGCAGGCACGGTGCTTTCCCAACACGTTCGCGCGTCTTGCATCGCATTGGCCCTTTTTGGTTTTGACATTGTCAACTTGATGCGCTCACTGAACACACACACACACACACACACACACACACACACACACACACACACACACACACACACACACACACACACACACACACACGCACACACACGCACGCACGCACGCACGCACGCACGCACGCACGCACGCACGCACACACACACACACACACACGCACACGCACGCACGCACGCACACACACGTCACAACGCAGGAGATTTGCTTCGGGGAGTACTGGACACGACACAGAGCAGCATGCTCGCAGCTTCATCTTCGCGAGTGCCAAGTGCAAATCAGTCGCTGCTTTCCATAGCCTCAGGACCAGGTACAAGGGATGCATCCTTGCTTGCAGCTGATACCACCACTCGCCCACACAAATACCCGCACGCGTCCGCCCCGAGCCCGTCCGACGCTTCCATATGGGAGGTGCTACATGAGAAACAACACACCGTCACAACAGCGGCAACAGCGGCGAAACCAGCGGTCGCAAGTACTACAGAACCACAAGCAGAGCCTGTGAAGCGGTCGGTCTTCGTTTTCATGCAGTTATGACGTGTGCGTCAACGTGTATCCATGCATGCCTGGGGGGGGGGGGACAAGCAGACTGTGGACACGAACAGCGAGTCCGCGTCATGCCTGCGTCCGTGTTGATTCTCACACGTGTGGTGCATGCATGTGCTGCTGGATGGCTGACCAGACGGGCGCCCCGGCGGAGCAGCGACCTCCTCCCCAGCGGAGTCATCCGCCAGATCCTTCACTCCGCAACGAGCACCCGCCTCTCAACAGCAGCCGTCGACACCGTCGGCGCTTGGTGCGCAAGTGTGTTTGTGAATGTGTGTGTGTGTGTGTGTGTGTGTGTGTGTGTGTGTGTGTGTGTGTGTGTGTGTGTGTGTGTGTGTGTGTCGTCGT